GGCTGGACTCTAGAGTGATGGATTCAGGATTTGCTTTCAGACATTTTGATAGCTGTTGGAGTGGTTAGAATCAGTGTCAGTTCCCTCTCAAATGCTTCTAGATAGGGGGAGAAAACAAATTTATCCATCATTTTAGAACAATAGCTGGTTGTCTCCCTTAGCTACAGGTGGGCACTACAGTATTGGAGACCAAGATTTGAAGTCTTACATCTGAGCAGCACTTTCTGATTCAGTACAAAATCATTAAGGAGAAATAATTGTTTAAATAGCTTTTTAGATGGACTTAAGCTTAAGCTCTGAGAAGTGTAATCCCTTGAATTCTTAAAGAAATACACTGATGACTTTACTCTTTGGTTATACTTTCCTTTTGGGTGTTTAAGACCACACAGTTGGCCCAAATAAATCAATTTATATTTACACTCAAGGTCATTTGAGGATCTGTTCCTCCAGGGTCACATGGGCTTGGGAGAGCCCCTGGCTCCTTTCTTTTACCAGTTCCATCTATGTGATAAGTCAAAGGTTCTGCTGGACCGTGGCTGGCTTCACTTGGAAGCATGGAGAAGTGTTTCCTCTGAGTTGACCCTCCTCTTTGTAGACTGGACACTGGTTCAAGTCCATCGGGTGGGGTCTGACAGGCTTCTTCTTAAAAAAATTTTTATTATTTTTATTTTATATGTTTGAGTGGGTAAATGCACCTGTGTCATGCAATGGCCATGGAGGCCAGAAGAGGGCATTGGATTCCCTTGGAACTGGAGTTACAGATAGTTGTTAGCTGCCATGTGGGTGCTGGGAATCAAACCCGGGGTCCTCTGCAAGAGCAGCCAGTGCTCTTTTTAAAATTTTTGCTTGTTTTTTTTTAATGTATTGTATGTTGGTGCACCCGTGTTGTGCAATGCTCTTGGAGGACAGAAGTAGGCTTTGGAACCCCTGGAACTGGAGTTATGGACAGTTGTTAGCTGCCATGTGGGTGTACCTGTTTGTTACCTACTGTGACCCAGTGTCACCAATGACCCCTCTGCAGCCCTGATGCCTCTGCCTGGGTCAAACCCAGTGACTGTCCCCAGCCCTCTTCCTGTTTATATCCCTGCCCCCACACCGGATGTCTCTCAAGGGGGCAGAGAGTGCTTCTGGACCTACATTCCACCTCTGCAGCCCAGACCACCGTTCCAGGCTGCCTCCTGTCTAACTGTAGTACCTCTGCAGAACACAGGACCAGGACACCAGACCATCCCTGGCCCCTTTCCCCAGCATGGTCAGCCTTGCCCTGCTACCTGCCTGGCACCATCGGGCAACCCCCTCGGGCCAAGTTCTGCTGCCCTCCCGCCTTTCTGACCGGCTCCCTAGCTCTGGACCCAGTGACCTCGCTGTTTCTTACACACTGGTGCTTGGGTCGGCCTGCTGCAGCCCTACCCAGCCCAGCTCAGTGCTTCCCAGACGGCCGCACAGCAGGCCCTCCCGCCCTCCCTCTGCTTTGTTATTTATTTTTATTTTTTGTGTATGCGTGTATTGCCTGTGTGTATGTAAGTGCAGTCGTGCGTGCAATGCACAATGATGTCAGAAAAGTGCGTCGGATCCCCTGGAACTGGACTTGCTAGCTGCCTTGTGGGTTCTGGGAATCGAACCCGGGTCCTCTGCAAGAGCGGCCAGTGCTCTTAACCGCGGAGCCGTCGCTCTAGCCCGTTTTGTTGTCTGAAACCGGGTGCTGTTTCAGGTAGCTGACCCTGGCCTTGAACTCCAGATCCTCCTGCCTCCAGATCTCCAGGGCCTCCAAGCCTAGCCTCAGCTACTTGGCTGTGACCGCAGGCACTCTCTCTCTCCCTAGAGGGGCCGGGTACACTTCACGTCCCTCCATCTTTCTGGGTAGCGGGACTCAGCCAGGGCTAAGCACCCTGAAGCTCCGGACAGGGGGCATGGCCAGTCCCGGTGCTCTCCGGGAAGTCCTAGGCATGCACCCCCGGACCTCGAACCTGGGCTCCGAGCGTTGCGAGGACGTCCCCGATGCCTGCCGCACCCCAGCCCCGTGCACTCCGCTTGCCCCGCCGTGGGCTCTCGAGGTCGGCGGTCCGCAGGCGCAGAGGCGTGCCGACCCGAGGAACCGGTCAGAGGGAGCCGAGAACCTACGGCAGCAACCGGCCAGGTCCATCCACTGACTGCGCCGGCTTCGAAGCTTGCGCCTGCGCAAGACTTGAGCAGGGGGCGGGGCCGAGGGCGGCTGTAATTGCACCCGGAGGGAGGCGTGGCTGGAAGGAGGGGCGTGTCCACAGCGCCTGGAGAGGATGGGGCTGACGTGAGGGGCGTGCCCACTGCTCCAGCGGA